CTGAGGGGGCCCTATCGATCGCGGAGCCCTGGGTACTCGCCCAAAATGCCCACTGGGAAAGACGGGTCTGATCCCAGATCTTCTTCCTAGTCGTGCACTTTTGACAGAAAAATGACACTTTTTTCGTGGTCATATCTCAGTCGATTCCAATGCCACTGATTCAACCGCGTTGCATCGCCATGCAGCTCGATTTATGCAGAGAGCAATCATTGATTGCCCGAGTCAGGCGCGGTCCGAAGGGGGTGTCACAGGGGGCATGACCCCCCCCCCCCCCCCAAATCTAAGGTCGAATTGAAAAACTCAAAAATTTTCCAAATAATAAAAGGAAATTTCTAACAGCGACAAATTTAAAGTTTGTTGACATTTAGTGGTGTTTTTATGAACTACGTACGATGGCCTAAATAATTTGGAAATGACATCTAGTACTTGTTCAGAAACAAGGAAGCGAACTACTTACGTAGTTTTGGTAATCCTAGCAAAATCGATATGCGTCGTTATGATAAAGATTGAGTAACAATATTTCATAAGTTATGTATAAACTAAATTGTGTCTTGTTGTGCAATAATGTTTATTTTATTCTAGATACCTATTTTTTATTAGTGCAGTGAGGAGAGGAGAGGGTCACCCCTCCAAAATTTCAGGCTGCGACTGCGCCTGATCCGAGTGCAGAGTTCTCAACGATTACAGAGTGTCGCCGCACACGGGCCACCGACCACAACCACCAAACGCCGTCACCGGCATATTTCTTGTAGATTTCATACATTTTATATGGACTCGCCACACACGGTACGCCGGTGGCCGCCACACGCTACAAATGGTCGTTGCTCGCTTCTTGTGGCCCGCACCGGCCACTTAATGCGCCGATATAAAACGCCGCCACACGTCACTCGCGCGATTCCCCACCCCTCTCTCCCTTACCTTAGTCGGCCGCTGTCACGCGCTTCAGCCACTTTAGTAGACGCTTCTAGCTTCTCGTGGCGGCGTTTGTGGCTGTGGCGTGTGGCTCGTGTGCGGCGACACTTAAACATAATTTCCGTCTTACTCATGTAGATTTGAAGGCCATCTTGTTGAGAGGCTCTGCTGAGGTCGTTGAGCATTGCAAAAATAAAGTTGACACGTAATATTTATGTATGTTAAGCTAAACTTTAATTATCACAGTTTTCACTTTTCGCTCCGGCTCGGCGCGTTTGTGGTTTGCGTTCGTGACTATAAGAAAACCGTTAAGTTCTATCAAATTCACTTTTCATATTACGCAATGGTGTGTTTGCGGTTTCTATTGTAGATTTATTTCATTACAGAGGTTAAAGGTTAACTGGGAACATTCACACATTCACTCAGTTGTGTGATCGAACAATCTATACAATCTCAACCTTTCGTAGTGTTGAAGATATAGTTATAGCAACAATTAAATAAAATCTTTAGTTATAGTACCAGTTTAATACTTATATATAGGTATATACACGGTGAGGTCATAAGTATTGTCACACAGTAAAAACTTTTCTTTTAGAATGCTGGCCACAAAAAAGTTTATTGTATTCAAATTTCGAATTGTTCATGAAAATAAAAATGTATACTTTTTAGAATTTTACTCATTTTTAAATATGGAGTGGACGCTTAAAGAAGACCTTGTTGCAGTTATTGCGTTGCATCGTTGCGGTTACGCGACAATTATTATTTTTGACATACAGAAAATTTGAATATAACCAAAAGATTCGTTTATCGTACCATCAAACGATACAATGAAGACTCTAGTGTAGATGACAGGTCAAGAAGTGGTCGCCCTCGGTCTGTTAGGACTCCAGCAGTGATAAAAGCCGTGAAGGCGCAAATTCAAAGAAATCCCAAACGTAAGCAGAAACTGTTGGCCCTTCAGATGGGGTTAAGCAGAACCACGGTGAAAAGGGTGTTAAATGAGGACTTAGGGCTTCTGGCATATCGAAGAAAAACAGGACATCGTTTGAATGCTCGTCTAATGAACCTGAAACTGAAGAGATGCCGCGCTTTGTTGAAGCGGTACGCGGGAAAAAATATCGGGAAAATCTTTTTTGGATGAAAAAATTTTTACCGTGGAAGAGAGCTACAACAAACAAAATGATAAGGTGTACGCATACAGTAGTGAAGAAGCGAGCAACTGTATTCCGTATAAACTTGTTTCCATTATTTTATTAAACATGTGACAGAATTTATGACCTGACTAGGTATATATATAAAAGTATCTCTTATCTATTAGACAAGTCCGTCCGTCCGTCTGTCTGTGGTGCTGTTTCAGCGGCCAAACCGTAAGAGATAGATAAAGAGAATGTTTAAGTTATAAGTTAAGAATAGTCTGATAAGACTACAAACCGGATTTGAGTAACGTAGCACTTCCGGTTTTCGAGAAATCACGTGATTTCTATTTTGTAATTATCACAATTTTAATTAACTATATAAAGGTTAATTTTTTTTAAATTTTTTTTAACTAAATAATTTCTAACGAAACCACACAAAATCTCCGAAGTTCTCAATTAATTAAATATATTTTTTAAATCATGTGTTGGTGAACATTTGGTTCACTGGTTTGCTAGTTATATATAGTACTAGCAAACCAGTGAACCAAATGTTCACCAAAACCTGATTTCTCGAAAACCGGAAGTGCTACGTTACTCAAATCCGGTTTATAGTCTTATCAGACTATTCTTAACTTATAACTTAAATATCCTCTTTATCTATCTCTTACGGTTTGGCCGCTGAAACAGCACCACAGACAGACGGACGGACGGACGGACTTGTCTAATAGATAAGAGATTTCCATGTTGTGTTTGCCAGTAATTGTTTTCGCAATATGCTGAGAATTATTACGTACTAGATGTGTCCATTAAGGGAATTGTAAAGCATTCAAAATATTCTGTTGTTTCATTTGAAATGAAAACAAAATATGCTTGAGTGTCGTGGAACATTCGGTTGAAACGAAGTTCACAATTTTTATATTACTCATTTATAATGGAAAATGACTTCATGAGTTATCTCAAATTAAAGTCAATTTTCAATTTGATAACTCTGTTGACTCTGTTTTGATAACTCTTGCTGAGTTTCTTGCCGGTTCTTCTCAGTGCAAGGTCTCCCGCCGTAGATTTACGAACCAATGGCGTAGCTTCTAGACATTCACAAGTGCTTGTAACAGCCTAAACTGAATTAACGATATTGAATATGAATGAATTTAATACCACCCGCTAATCCACACTGGGCTCGCGTGACGAGTAATGAGAAAAATAATGAGGGTTACCGTTTTCTGCCTCACCAGATGGCGCCACTGTTGAGTGAGGTCCTAAATTGTAACTTTTAAAGTTTATTAATACGCACATGAAATCAAAGGTTACATTTAGATCGTATTTTAACACAAAAGAACCATATCCTAAACATAATAGGCCATGCCACAGTGACGCCCAGTTCCGTTTTATTCGGAAAAAATGGGAACATAATCATTTTTCTAAGCTCAAATTTTTAATAACTGACATTCATTGCCACATAACTCATATTTGCCATAATTAAGCCGAATTGTTACCAATTATTCACAACATTGTTTTTATTAGAAATAAACCCGCGTAGTCAACCAACAAGCAATAACATTTGACATTTCGGAGACCTCACGCTACACTAGCGCCTCTAGCGGCGGATTCATACGCGATAGCCCTCATTATGGCGATGTATGATGCACTTACAAGGTACTTCCCTGGTTCTCTTCTAATAATCTTAGACTTAATGCGAGCAAAACTAAATTTGCGAAATTTACTTTGCCGAATGTCTGTAATATTTGCCTGTAATATATATTTTTTTAATAATAATAATATTTATTTAACAATAGTAAAATGATACATGAACATTAATTTTACAATAAGCACCTTACCAATAACATTTTCAAAACAGTGTGAGTCTCAAACTCCCAAACTAGGACATGTCCTGTATTTCAGGAGTCAGTGGCTCATCCCAGATAAGTAAACTCAATCTCAATAGCGTACATCTTAAGAACTTAATGCAAATGAATCTGTATGTGTTTGTGTGCGTGTGTGTGTGTGTGTGTGCGTGTGTGCGTGTGTGTGTGTGTGTGTGTTTGTGTGTGTGTGTGCGTGTGTGTGTTTGTGTGTGCGTTTGTGCGTGTGGGTGTGTGTTCATGCGCGTGGGAGCGTGTACAATAATAGGTAGTTTACCTAATAAGATCTTGAGTTTCCTCATAATTGTATTTTAGAAGTAAATCACTTACAGTTGATTATGATAATGATAATGTAAAGCATACTGAAATGGGGGATTTAATTCTTAATGATGAAAAACTAATTTTAGTCGATACAACCGTTTTTTTAGGCGTAACACTAGACCACAAACTTCAATGGAACCCCTCACATTACAACACTAGCCGGTAAACTTAGTTCCGCTGCTTCTGTAATTTATAAAATAAGACGGCTTACAGATGTCGACACTGCTAGGACAATACACTTCAGCTATTTTCACAGCATTATGCATTATGTCGTATGGCATTCTATTGTGGGGCACGGCTGCTAACATTGAAACAGTTTGTAGGACGGCCAAAGGGGAAGATCTTCCTCCGAGCTGGATGATGGTAGCTCGGGGGCCGCGGCCCGGCTGTTGTTGGTCGGGCATCGTATATATGAAGAGTTAGCCTCCGAATTTCATTTGCGCGATGTAGGCTTCCATACTATTATGATCGCAGTGCAGGTAACGCCATCTCTTGAGGATGGTGAGTAATGATTTCCTCCATCCGTTGTATAATATACGTGGGGCATATAGATGTCGTCGCCACAAGTTTTTATTCTTCAACACACAATATACATATAGTCGTGTGACGCTCGTGCCGCATTTACGTTTCATTTTTTCCATAGAATTTTGCAAAAAAATTGTCTTACCCACCAAGTGTCCTACGACACGAAGGTCGCTGTTATAGTTCACTGAAAGAAATCAAGATTTATTCCTGTTGTGGTATGGATGGTTACCATGGTAACGAAACTTACCGCTCCCCGCCTTGGGAACTGAAACAAAACAAAAATAATATTTATTAAATGGATACAATTTTATTTCTATCACATGCAAACCTTAAAATACCCGTTGCGTCCACCAAAAGGTAATGTCATATATATATACTAGCTGACCCAGCGAACTTCGTACCGCCATAAAAAAAATTAAAAAAACATTGTGCAGCGGACAAAATTGTGAATCTAAACCATTCTCAGATCCCCTTGAACACACACAAAAAATTTCATCAAAATAGGTCCAGTCGTTTAAGAGAAGTTCAGTGACATACACACTCACAGAAGAATTATATATATAAAGATATACTAGCTGACCCAGCGAACCCTCGTTACCAAACTACAATACATTGAAACGTGTGATTCGACAAGCATTATCATTGTACAAATAAAGGAATGGCCATGATTGAATACGCTGTACCGCAGTTCGGAGACAGGTACTCGTATACAATCAACTTTAGCAGATTATAAACGGTATGTACTAAAGAATACAACCACTTTTACATTGTAGACGAGTTTGGTATTGTTAAATTGATTATTTATAAGGCACAACCACAAAATAGAGAGTACATAAAGTAATATAAGTTATTTACGGGATTGTTAGCATGTACTCGTACTTAGTTTTTAGCGAGTTTCCGATATTTCGGCACTGTTGCAAGCGCCATGATCACGGAGTAACTGAAGTAATGAGGGCTACCGTTTTCTGCCTCACCAGATGGCGTCACTGTTGAGTGAGGTCCTAAATTGTAACTTTTAAAGTTTATTAATACGCACATGAAATCAAAGGTTACATTTAGATCGTATTTTAACACAAAAGAACCATATCCTAAACATAATAGGCCATGCCACAGTGACGCGCAGTTCCGTTTTATTCGGAAAAAATGGGAACATAATCATTTTACTAAGCTCAAATTTTTAATAACTGACATTCATTGCCACATAACTCATATTTGCCAAAATTAAGCCGAATTGTTACCAATTATTCACAACATTATTTTAATTAGAAATAAACCCGCGTAGTCAACCAACAATCAATAACATTTGACATTTCGGGGACCTCACGCTACACTAGCGCCTCTAGCGGCGGATTCATACGCGATAGCCCTCATTGCGGGTAGGCTGTTATTGGCAGATATATCGGTCTACCCTCCGACGAAGACTTTTATTGCGTTCGATACATATATTACTATAATGTTAGTGACCATGAAAGTTTAAAACAATATACATAAGGTAATCTCATGTATGTGTCCATTTTACATACCCAGTCGGCGGTCGCGCTGGGATTTTTAACATAGAGGTGCTGTCCTACGATCTGTGATGTCGCGGGCGAGGCCGCGCCGCGCAGGGTTGGCAAACGTATAATGGGATTCGACTAAGAATAGGACCGACTGGGCGCCATATTTGGACGTCATAGCTGTCAATTCAAACAAAATAGAGTAGAGTGTAGAGGGTAGAGTGAGCAAAAAAATGTTGCTATTTAATAACTTATTTTTTTAAGATTAAGTGAGACAAAACATCAGATTTACAAAAATAAATTAAATTTACTAAGGTTGAGAAAGAACACAACCGATTTGAAATAGTATTTCTTTATTAAGACTGTGTGAAAAAAACATTAATCACAATCTAGCTCTTCAATTTCGCTCATCTCTGCATTACCGGCAGAGAAGTTATGAATAATCATGCAGGTCACATACGAACATGCATCCTTTATGTAAACGAAAGTTTTAAATCGAGTTTTTGAACGCAACATAAAGTGACATTCGGTTGACGATTAAGGTTATCCACCATTCATAGCCAAAGCTCAATAAATGAAAAAAAAAACAACTAATAATTAATTATCAACATTTGTTATTGTTTGTTTAAAAATGATTGGTTTTTATCCTAGAATCAGCCGAGTGCTAAAAAAGTGTTCCGAGTTTTTTTTACAAACTGTACTTTTCAAGCGACATTTGACAGATGGAGGTCATTGGCTTTCCTATTCTTATTTGAATCGCATTATGCGAGAACTCTAAGGTTCGAGATTATATATCCAATTATCACAATCAAAAATAAGCATATACATATATATAACAATCTTTATCTTCAATTATAATTGAGTGTTGTTCATTTTTGGGAAGCGCATCCTGTCTTTTAACTAATTGCGTGCCCGACGGGGTCCATAATGCTCATTATTATATACTTATGTACCTACCACCCACTGTACACATTATGGTTGTAATAAATAAAATTAAATTAAAAAAATAACAAAAAATATTACAGTGTTAGTAACCACGAGAGTTTAAAACAATATACAGTACCCTTAGTACGAGTTTGAGCTGACGAAAACTATCATAGTTTTCGTAATTGTAAATTATGTTTCTATATCCATTTTGGGGAAAAGTATCCAAATATACTTAAAATTTAAGAAGACACAAATGATTTAATGATAGAATTTAAATCATAGTTTTCGTATTGTAAAACTCGTACTAAGGGTACAGTCTATCATGTATTTGTTAATAGTTTGTCGACTAAGGTCATTGCCCTGTAGAGTGGCGAGCAGTGTGACGTCACATCCATGCCAGCCGCGGCAGGCTAGCGCGTCTACATTCCGCGGGAGAAAGCATTGAAAGCTTTACACACAAGCAGATGCGGTTCAAAACAAACAAACCTTGTTTATGGTGATTGCTTATTGGAAAAATCACGTCTTTTTACCCGACTGCACACGCAGCGCGACGCACAGACAGGGTATTGTGTTCAACAGTCTAAACAGGGTTAATTTTAAAACACAATTGCAATTATTGAATTCGAATTACGAATTGTTCATGAAAATAAAAATGTATACTTTTCAGAATTTTATTCATTTATAAATATGGAGTGGACGCTTAAAGAAGACCGTGTTGCAGTTATTGCGTTGCATCGTTGCGGTTACGCGCCAATTCAAATTTTTGACATACTGAAAAATTTTAATATAGCCAAAAGATTCGTTTATCGTACCATCAAACGATACAGTGAAGACTCTAGTGTAGATTTCAGGTCAAGAAGTGGTCGCCCTCGGTCTGTTAGGACTCCAGCAGTGATAAAAGCTGTGAAGGCGCGAATTCAAAGAAATCCCAAACGTAAGCAGAAATTGTTGGCCCTTCAGATGGGGTTAAGCAGAACCACGGTGAAAAGGGTGTTAAATGAAGACTCAGGGCTTCGGGTATATCGAAGAAAAACAGGACATCGTTTGAATGCTCGTCTAATGGACCTGAGACTGAAGAGATGCCGCGTTTTGTTAAAGCGGTACGCGGGAAAAAAATATAGGGATATTACCGTAGAAGAGAGCTACAACAAACAAAATGATAAGGTGTACGCACACAGTAGTGAAGAAGCGAGCAATCGTATTCCGCGTGTCCAACGAGGTCATTTTCCAACCTCGCTCATGGTATGGTTGAGAGTTTCTTATTGGGGTTTAACAGAGGTACATTTTTGTAAGAAAGGTGTAAAAACGAATGCAGTTGTGTATCAAAATACAGCCCTGACCAACCTTGTGGAACCTGTTTCTCATACCATGTTCAATAACAGGCACTGGGTATTCCAACAAGATTCGGCGCCAGCTCATAGAGCGAAGAGCACACAAGACTAGCTGGCGGCGCGTGAAATCGACTTCATCCGGCACGAAGACTGGTCCTTCAGTCCAGATTTGAGTCCGTTACATTACAAAATATGGCAACACTTGGAGGAAAAGGCGTGCTCAAAGCCTCATTATAATTTGGAATCTTTTGGATATTGGCAAGGACCTCGTTCGTGCTGCAATAGACAATTAGCCGCGCAGATTGAAGGCCTGTATTCAAAATCACGGAGGTCATTTTGAATAAACTTTATTGTCATAAGAATCTATGTTTTGTTAAGTTCATTTTGGTATATAAATGGTTACATAATGAATAAACTTGTTTCAATTATTTTATATTAAACATGTGACAGAATTTATGACCTGACTAGGTATATTTAGGTAATTTGTTATAAATTTTAATTGCGTTTATTTGTGGACCTGAACTATGGATTTTAAGACATGGTGAGGGTATGGCTAAATTGTCTTTGTATCTCAAATTTATAGATGTATTAGAACAGTCCTGTTTTTGGGGATAATGGCCTAATGTTAGTTTATTTAAGAAAAGAACTTTCGCTTCAGATGTGTGGTGCGTGCACAGAATAGTTTTTTACTATTATGAAGTCAGTTTTTAACAGATTACTCTAAATTTGGTGTTGGCAAATTAATTCTTTAACGTGTCGTCTCAGTTGACGATTCGACGAATTGCTTGTGTCTCATACTGACGACAGTAATTATGTTTTACAAATGGCATACACTACCACGGACAATTAACTCCGAGTTGCCGAACACGAGAGAGTGTAGAAAGGGGATGTGCAATTTAAATGGTCCAGTTAAAGTTTCTAAGTACTCAGCTTACGAAATCTTTCATCATAAGCCTATTAATGTCCCCACTGCTGGGGCACAGGCCTTCCCTCTAGATGTAATAGGGAGATTGGGCCATGACGGACCACGCTGGCCCAATGCGGAGTGGTGAGTGCTAACGACTGCAGATGAAGCCGATGAAGCCGGGACTAAGTGCTTAACGTGTCTTCCGAAACCGACCACTGCGAAAGTTGCTTAGCTTCAACGATCGCAGCCGAACGCATGTCACATTACATATAAGATGGTACATCAAATATGTGACGAAGCCAGAGGGCGCGTTAAATTGTATAATTATAGGTACCTACTTTGTTCATATTTAATTTTTACACAGCAAACAAATAAATTTTATAAAATAGATTTAACAATTTCAATAAACAATAATAATAATGAAAATGACAACTTTTAAAATTAATTACATTAGTCATTAAAAATTCTTTCAAATTATAATAACATTTTTGGATTAAATATGATTTTAATTGATTATTGAATTTTGCAGATATTTCTTTATTATTTAGTAGCGGCCCGCCCTCGCTTCGCTTCGGTGTAGAACTGAAGTGTACACTACAGTTTT